CCCCCCCCCAAGGAAATATAGCAGATAGGAGTACCGAACGAACTCAGAAGCCAAGCCAGAGTTTGTTGCGCAAAGTTTTAATGCCACGTCGTGTCTTTGTTGTGGCTGTTATTTTAAAAGAAAGCATGTATAGGTGATGATAATCTCACTCTGATAAATGTGACAAAAACCGTTGCTATAACTTTCTCACAAAACCTTAGTAGACAGTGGATGAAACAGCATGCCAAATATGCTCTTTCCAAAAGCAGATTAGGCAAAGTTCGTAGGCGTGTGTACTGATGAATCGAAACAATCACAATAAATCTGGCGCTAAAGACGCAGTGATTTGCATATACGTCAAGTGAATGTTGCCTTATAGGCCAGCTGCCAAATGATAGCTCAGTTTTTTTCAATAGCTTTATTTATTGCTTGTTTTATTTTTATTGTTACCTAGTTTGAGCACATTTTCCTTCGGTTTTTTCCGTACAGAAAAACGTAGTTCTTTATTTACATTATTTATCTAGTAGACAACTCCGCCACGGCCGGTCCCTAGTAGACTCTAGTGTTTCGGTTTAATTTCTCTAATAATTACTCATAGCAAACTGATCTAGCTTACTTGCCGCCCCCCCCCCCTCGTGCAAGTGGTCAGAACAAACCATAGGTCTACTTTACCGTCGGTAGAGCACTGAACATCCGAGCAAAATACATAAGAAGCAGCGGATGCTTCTGACAGAAAGAGAGGCATGCTTTGTAGAATGACGTCAAAGGATGGCTACCTTGAAACTGCCGTTATTCGCGTGAGATCGGAAATGGCGACACAGATTTGGACAATTGCAACGATTCCCGCCGGGCAGCACCGCCGGCGTCGAATGACCTTCTTGAACCGATAGAAAAGGCATTAGGCAACGTCCGTAAAAGAACGGTGTCGGAAATCTGCATTATTGGCATACGATAAGTCTGAGTCAACACTCAAGGCGATCGGTACCCTCGTTTCCATTACGTGGCCATTGACCGATGTCGAGATGCAAAGGCCTCGCAATAATGCGCAATGATTCACCTCATCATCCTCATCGTCCTTCAGAAAGTTGTTGTAAAGGACGCCCTCTTGGCGTGCCATGTAGTAAACACTAAGCCTCGCTTAAGGCAGAGGCCGGCCTACGCAACTAAACAGGTAAATAATCCCGTTCTCCGCAGTACTAGCCATGATAATATCATCTGCGAACTATAGCTCAGTAAGATGTCTAGCCGAATATCGTGAACTCGGCCTTCCCTCTAAAATGACACCTTCGGTTTTGCCAGGATCAGCACTGCTTCACATAAGAGGGTCAAAAGAGCAATTGCGAAAGCCAGTCTCCCTAACGAAGTCCACAGTTAATAAAGCATCATCAGGATAACTCTCAAGCGACATTTACAGCACACATGGTCCCCTCAAAGTTGAGAAGACTGGCAAAGAAGGCAATGAGATGTTGGCGTTGCTAGAGAACCCTACGCAGAGTGAAAATTGATCAGAAAACTCAGAAAACTTGATCAGTATCACAGGCTCGTTTCATACCTTGAGGTGTAGCAAGACTTCTATTTTAGCATACAAATCTGTTCTAATCTCTAGCGTTGCCAGATAATTAACAGTCGGAGATGATGAACCTAGATGACGGCTGTTGAGCAGCTGTTGGAAATGCTCAGCCCATTTTTTCAGGCGTTCCTTTTGACCTGCCAATGGAACACCATTGGCATAAAATTAAGGCTAAAAATTGGTACAGATTTCCCTTCTTACCGGACACCTGTCGCACATCGTTGAGCATTATTCATGGGCGGTGTTCTTCTGTCAAACGAATAGTATTTACGATATGCAAGTGCCACGTCAGACAAGACATTGAGCCACTGGCAGTTCCCACATCAGAAAAAGGAGTCTAGCATACCATAGGAATGTGATGCCCTTATGCTCTGAACGTCTGCATAAGCCATGGTGTTGTCAACCGTGGACGGAATACTGTCTAACAGTATGACGCAGCCGCTGCCAGGTTCATTTTGTGATACCGAAACAAATGCCACACACCGTACGGTCAGGAACCCTCAAAACAACACCGTTGTTCTTGCTGACAGTGCAGTGCTGGTGAGCGTCGAGTAATATTACTTTAGGCTGTTGTTGTCCACGTATATGAATGAACCCAGCTGATCCGAACCTGCCAAACCTCCAGGAAATCGGTTTACTGCCATCTCTGCAACTGAAATCACAACAACCTCTATGGGTCCACGGTTTTTCTCTTGTAGTCAACAAAAAGACCAAAACACTGGCTGACCGACCGTAATTTTGGGTCAGATGTGACGTTTCCAGATGTGGCAAACAAAGCCTCGACGATCCGACCAAAAGGCCTTCAGGCTTCGTCTTAGCCGGAGGACAATAGAGCCGCACTAACTCGCGTTCTTACAAGATACTGTAAGTGCGGATGCCTTCTCCACAAGCGGAAAATGTGAGAATTTGAAAATTTGTGAGGGCAGCGACGTGAAGAGCGTGAAGCGAATTTCGGATCACTGTCGCATCCATCCCCACCATGAAAGAACACAACCGATCTACCTGGCTCTTCGCACGCTGTGGTAGAGCAGCTATCAGAGCTGCACGTAGAACTAATAGAAAAATCGACTCGGCTGTTGCCATGTCAGCCGGACAAAAACAAGTGGTCAGTGGTCACTCTGTCCGGACATGAATTGTTTGAGACGCCGCCTAGGAATTGACGAAGCCGACA